ACCAATCTTCTTTTATTTCACGGTGATTTACTCGAAGGATTACACGGTTCCTAAAAGGTAAAAGGAATTTGAAACAAACGATGCAATGGAGAAAGGAAACGCTGAATTGAAAACGAATCAAACAATAGGAATGGTACTTACAAAACACGTTTTGCCCCGATAAAACGTAGAACACACCAGGAAACTTGAACTAACTCAACTTACTCAAGGTCGTCACTAAAAATGGCGACCATAACACATGTATCTTAGCTGCGGCGGACTGGGCCCTAAACTAGCGCGTGAAAACTGCCAGGCGCAACGACAAACTTGAGCTCACATGAGGTAAATTACATTTTCATCAAGTTATTTCTCAAGTTGCAATTTCGACTTGTAACTGAGTGCCAAAGTGGTTTCAAAACAAGCCTCCTGTTTGTTTTTTGTTACCTATACTTAAGGGTGAAAAATGCACACTTCATTAGGCGGTTGATTAAAACAAATACACTGGATAGTGTTTTGAAGTATTGTTCCACAATACTTTCTAAAACGTCATTTTATAGTGGTTGAATCTAAACAATGAATGTACTTCTTCCAATATTAGTCCTAACTTTATGACTCCAAGGAGTGATTAACTTGTGAATTCTACTCACAATATCAGTACATTGTTCAACAAACAAGTTCTGAGAATACAACATTTTGTCAGCTGATGGGTGATGTCTTGATGTAACACCATATACTTTAATCTGAGAAACTAGGATAGAAGGTCCAAAAGCGAACTACCAATAGCCCATTTGCTAATTACCCTTGGCCTCATTTTCAAGACGAGTCGCCCTACTCAACCATTCTTGTGAAGATGAGTTTAATTTGCATGTGCATTTGCAACCTATTATTATATGAAAGGATTAGCACGAGGACTTGTTTTGAAAGTGAGGCCTGAAGGGTAATTCGCAAATGGGCTACTAGATCTTAGCACTGTGGTTACAGTAAGTTCACTGTGTTTTTTTCTTCTTTGTTCAGGAAAGGAAATACTGCAGCAAGAGTGAAAGTTGGTGATTATCATTACTATGGATTTGGAACAGATATTGACTATGAAACAGCGGCATTCCATTACAGACTGGCTTCTGAACAGCAACATAACGCACAGGCAATGTTTAATCTGGGCTACATGCACGAGAGGGGACTGGGTATGAGACAGGTACAGCAACGTTACTTCTGTTGGAACACTTAAAGTGTCATTGAATTTGAATGTCAGTCAAGGGAAGTTAAAAGAGAATGATTCTTCTGAGGACAAAAGAGCAAGAATTATCTTGTTTTTTTGATGGTTGTCACATCATTTTGAAAGTTACCTTGTACCTGTCAGCTGTACTGGACAGGAAGCATCAAATATTCTTGGATAAGTCACGGACAGTAATGAAATTTTATAATTTTAAAAGATTTGATAATAGGTTTTAAATCCAAAATTTTCAACACTTGAAACTGAAAAGCTGCAAGGTAAGGTAAAACCTTTATTTAAACACGACAAGGT